ACACACACACACACACACACACACACACACACACACACACACACACCCCTCAGTCACTCCCCAAAAAGTCTTTGGTATGAGCCGAACGTAGGAGAAATGACCTTGGGCTAGTTTTGTTTTTTTTCCCTTCCTAGTAAAGGCATCTCCCATGATGCCTTTACAGAGCCTAGCCAACACTCTCTGTACCTAGAGAAGGAGGACGTTCTAGTTGTTTAGTCACACTGAGGTAGCTGAAGACTATTTTGCCATGCTGGAGGATTAAAGGTGGCACCTCACATGCGCACTCTCTCCCACTGAGCGCTAAGCCAGCCTGTCAGAGTAAATTGGTGGCTCCCTGGGTTAAGGCCCATCTTAAGATTTCAGGGGGCTGCAGGGATGGCGCAGCAGTTAAACATGCTTGCTGGCCCTTCAGAGGACCTGAGTTCAGCACTCGCATCAGGTGGCTCACAATTACCTGTACCTCCAGCTCCAGGGGGCCCAACTCTCTCTGTGGGCACTCCTACTGTTGTGACATACACGTCAAATGAAAATCTTTTAAAATTTCGTTTGATGGGGCTGGAGAGTTGGCTTAGAGGTTAAGAGCACTGGCTGCTCTTCCAGAGGTCCTGAGGTTAATTCCTAGCAACCACATGATGGCTCACGACCATCTATAATGAGATCTGGTGCCCTCTTCTTGCTTGCAGGTGTACATGCAGACAGAACACTGTATACATAATAAATAGATAGATAGATAGATAGATAGATAGATAGATAGATAGATAAATAAATTTAAAAATATTCCAGTTGAGGGTGGTGGTGCATGCTTTTAATTCCAGTACTCAGGAGGCAGAGGCAGATTGATATCTCTGAGATCCAGGCCAGCATGGTGTACAGAGTGAGTTCCAGGACAGCCAGAGCTATTAAAACAAAACAAAACAAAACCGTGTCTTGAAAAACAAAACAAAACAATCCAGCAGCTTCTTGGTGTCAGACACTCCACAGGGATGTGGAGGAGACAGTCTTTCCTGCCTCCTCTGTCTCAGCAACACGGACAGTAGCACTGCGGGGCAGACTTCCATCCTCCGAGCCACTTGCAAGGTCCCAAGAGAGCTCATCTGAGTCTTCACAAAATCTATTTTTCATTGCTCTCTTTTGCTTAGAGATTTAGAGGGTAAGGATGGGAGATGCATTTTTGCAGAACAAAGCCTTTTCTGTCTAGCCCTGCCTTCTGCATAATCCTTACAAGTCACAGGACAGTGCTGTGGATTTGAGTCTCTTAAACCGGTCCCCACCCTTGCAAAAATTATACACACGTGTCTTCCTCAAGCAAGACTGGGCTCTTGGCGCCTTGTGGCACCATCTGCCCTCATACTTGAATCAAGGCAGGCTAAAACCTAAATCAAACGTGGGGAGATAAGCAGAACCTCAGACAACTGCTTTGGAGACAGGCAACTTTACTGGTCTCCTAGTAAACTCCCCCTCTCCCTCATGGGACTTCTGAAGATTGGCAGAGCTTTTGGAGTGCCGAGGGCTGCGCTATAGGGAAGTACTCCTATAGCACTCAGTAACTAGACGCCTTTATCAATTATTTTCATCTTTTAAGTTGGATGATCTCCATGTAGCCCCAAATGGCCTAGAACTAGATTCTCCTAGAATCAAGTAGCTCTCTCTCCTCTCTCTCTCTTTGTGTGTGTGAGTGTGTAGGTCTTTTTTTTTCCCCAGCTAAATTGAGAGTACCCTGAGGGCGGGTAACAGGTTTAAACTTGTCTCTTTAATAGCTACTTGGGTTTCTGGCTCTCCTTGGATCCTTAAGAAACCTGTTGTTTGAGGGGAATTAATTAAGGCCGTTTGTTTTTGTTTCCTTTATCTGGAAGTCTCCAGGCTCTGGTTAGGTCTGATAAGGCACCTGAGTGGTTTTCAGACTGCGTTCCATCTTCATCACTCAGCTAGAGCCCCATTTTGGCAGATGGAACCAGCAGTGAGCACCTGGGAATCTGTAGGTTTCCTCTGTGGGGATGGTGGTGGCTCTGTTTTTTTCCGAGACAGAATCTGCTATGCAGTCCATGCAGATATTCAAGTTTGTGGCAGTCCTGTCTCAGCTAGGATAACAGGCCAGGACAACCTCATTTGGGGAACACAGGTGCTATAAGAGAAAAAGATTTTGAGAGAGATTACAAGTGGCTCTTTTGGACTAGGTTCCAAAAACCAGGTCCCAAAAGATCAGATTAAAAATCAAAACCACTCACACAGAAGCTCTGGCACCAAGTTAACTGTATCATAACCATATCAGCCACAGTTTGTCTGAATCTGCCGACCAGGCTCCTTGAGGCTGATTTGATTTTGTTTTGCCTTAAGTCTCCACCTTGCAAGTAAAGTTACTTTGAAATGACAGAAACTACTTCCTGTTTCTTTCAGCTGTGTAACCAACCCCCACAAACTCTTTGCTCCGTGCACTCCAACAACTTATTTTATTTTATGCTTGATTCTACAACCACAAATAGGGCCAATGAAGATCTTTAAGTTGTTATAATTTTGATTTGAAGTTTTGGCAGGGCATGGTGTGGGGAGTTGGATCTAAGAGCTCATGCCTGCTAACCATGATGCCTGATGCTCATGATGCTAACCATGAGCTAAAAAAAAACGTCTTTATTTATTTTATGTGCGTTGGTATTTTTCCTGCATGTAAATCTGCATAAGGGTGTTGGGTCCCCCAGAACTGAGGTTACAGATGGCTGTGAGCTGCAATGTGGGTGCTGGAAACTGAACCCAGGTCCTCTGGGGGGCGCAGCCAGTGAGTGCTCTTAACCACTGAGCCATCTCCCTTATAGTATCCCTCCCCCCTTTTAAAGACAAGAGTCCCCCTGTGTGGCTGTGGTTGACCTGGAACTCACTCTGTGGACCGGCCAGGCCTTTTAATGGGTTAAACCCAAACTCCTGGGATTGCGCAAGCTCTGCAACATGCAAGTTTACTGAGCCATTACAGACATTGGCCGGAAAATATCAGAGACAAGCTCCCCCAGCAGCAGCAGCAGCAGCAGCAGCGCTGAGGAGCAGTAGGAAAGCGGCCACCAGACCCTGGGCTGAGGGGATTTTTACAGAGTATTCTTGTTCGTTATTGCTTGGTGGGTTTTAGGTTTCTTCTCGTGTGTGTGTGCATGAATGTCCTCAGAGGCCTCACTGGTCCCTCAGAGCTGGAGTTACAGGAAGACCTGGACCTCTGTAGGAGCAACAAGCACTCTGAACCATTTCTTCCCGAGACAGATTCTCAAAAAAGCCAAGGCTAGCCTCAAACTCCGTAAGTAGCTGAGGTGACCTGGAACTTTGGATCCTTCTACTTCCCAAGTGCAGTGGCTTTATGAACAGTGTTTCCATGGAACCTGCTTATCTAGTTATCTGAGAAGAGGGCACACTTCGTAGGAAGGCAGTCGATGGATGAAACTGTCGGTTCTGGACTGGTTGTACTTAGTAGTTCCAAAAGTCTACGTACAACAGGGTGCCATCACCCGGTGGTGAGCCTCGAGACTTTAACATACCCGAAGACACTGAAGGCAGCCTACTGTTCATAGTGAGCTCCAGGTCAGCCAAGTCTGTGAAGTGAGACCGTTTTCAGCCTGGAACGGTTTTTAAGAGTCTTTTTATGAGTGTTTTGCCGTTATGTATGTAGGTGTACCATATGCATGCAGTGCCTGCACAGGCCAGGAGGGGGCACTGGATCCTTTGGAGATGGTGTTTCAGCGTTAGCCACACTGAGTGCTCGGAACTCAACCAGAGTCCTCTGCAAGAGCTCCAAATGCTCCTAAACACAAGCTATTTCTCCAGCCACAAGGTCATAGGTTTAACCTTCTCCTCTCCTTCCTTCCCCCTGCCCATCGTCCTGCAGTTGGTCATCACATTTAGGGCACCTGAGGTTTTCAGCAGCAGGTCGGAAATCCTGGTTGTCACCTAACCAGGAGTCCTCAGCCACCTCATCAGCTCACTAGAGAGAAAAGACTCCCAGGGGGACCAGGAGAGTGGTATGTATGTCAAAGCATCACCATGGGGCTTTGGTACCCAAACTGGAATTCCTGACTCGCAATGTCACTGACATTCTGGCAAGATTACCTGAAACTAAGACCTCTCCTTACATAATGGACAAGTAAGTTTCCAAAGAACAAGGGAGGGATAGGAAGCATTACTTACCAGAACGTGGTCCTCAGACCGCACCAACAATCATTTTTAGAAGGCTTCCCGGGTTATATACAAGTTTGAGGAGCCCCATCCCAGTCTGTTTCCTCCTCTTACCGACGATTTGTCCACTGATAGGCAGACAGATGGACTCTCAAAACTTTCTCAACTAGTTCACGGATTAGTTAAAATTTAAAAACCACTCCCGAGGAACACTGCTCACTGCCTGCCTCTGACTCACCACGCTGAAAACGTGGCCTGCGCTTCCCCTGCTGCTGCCTAGCTGCTCACTGGTGGAGGCTCAGCTGCCTCCAAGATCCGGCCTCAACCGTAACCCACCGCCATGGCCGAGGAAGGTATTGCTGCTGGAGGTGCAATGGACGTCAGCAGTGCTCTACAAGCGGTGCTGAAGCCCGCCCTCATGTGCGAGGGCCTAGCACTCGAAGGCCTAGGGGATGCTACCAAGGCCTCAGACAAGTGCCAGGCCCGTCTTTGTGTGCTTGCAGCCAACCGCGATGAGCCCATGTACTTCAGGCCTGTGGAGGCGCACTGTGCCGAGCACCAGATCAACCTGCTTAAGGCTGACCACACCAAGAAACCAGGGCAATGGGTAGGCCGCTGTCAAATCAACGAAGAGGGGAAGCCACGGAAAGTGGTTGGTTCCAGTTGTGTATTGCTTAAGGACTATGGCGAAGGATCTCAGGCCAAGGATGTCAGCAAGGAGTATTTCCAATGCAGGAAATGAATAAACATTTTGGCTCATTTAAAAAAAAAAAAAGTGTCTCAACACACCCCAAAGCTGTGGATGGTACCCAGGGCTTAGTATGTGCTATGCAAGCATGTTAGCAGCCGCCCTGCATCCCCTATTCCAAAAGCGCATTTCAAGACACTGGAACTTGTGTTTCAAAGACGACCTACCCTGAATTCTCTCCCTCTTTCACACACACACACACACACACACACACAGACAGAGAGGAGGGGGGAGGCAGGCAGCAATTGCCAGAGGCTGTCACGGGAAACTGAATATAGCCAGTGTTTGTTGAATGGATCATTAATGAGCTTACTTAAGATACGTAAACATCCACACTGTCTGAACATCTTTTGTACATCAAAGGCTTTTTGAGTACTTTCGTCTGGCTACAACTGACAATTGCAAACATGGAGCCACAGCAAAGGCATGGACTGGTAAACTTTAAGGGAAGCATTAGTCATTTGTGAAATGAGAGGGCAGGGCAAGGCTGGAACGCATGAGTCACTGGTGGCTTCAGGTCTGCTTCCAGGAAGCCATTAACCAAATTTTGCATATAGACTTATCTATTTTCCCAGGAATACAAAATAGAGCTTTTCTAAGATTTTCAAAAGGGTTGTAAAGTTATTAGTAGCTGGTCTGGCAACATATGCCCACGGGTATGTTAGTGGCAAAAATGTTCTAGTGGTAACTACTGCTTTCTGGTTGGATTTAAGACCTGTCTCTCAGGAGAAAATTTCACTTAAGGTGAACCTACTGTTGTTTTGCTGAGGACATAATATTAACCTGCTTCCTAAATACGCATCCTTGCACACATAGATTAGTGCAGCGCCTCGCGGCCCCCATCAGAGGGCCTTCTTTGCATGGGGGCCAGTGGTTTTCACAGAAAACTCACAACTGTACAAAGGATTGATGCAAGCAGAGTGCTCAGCTCTAAGTGGGACATTATGTCTCACGACTTCTCCCAAAGCTCAGGGGACATCACAGAAGAGGAGGAAAGATTCTAGGAGCCAGAGGCTAGGGAGGGCTGAAGAACTGTCTTCTGGGCCGGTGCACTCATAAACACTCACGAAGCGGACAGTGGCTGTGGCTGTCTGCACCAGATCAGGGCACCAGATCGGGCATCAACATTGTGGCAGGGGCTCCCAAAGTCTAGGGTACTAGACAGGGAGTGACAGTTTTCCTTAGGGCTGTGGGCTATGCTCCAGTGCACGGCCCTACGCATATACTCATGTGTATGCGGGCGGCATAGACCGGAACCAGCGGGATATTAAGGAGAAAAGAAAAGGCCAGGGTAGATGTGGATCCAGTAGTTGCGGTGATAAGTGGGGTAAATATGATGAAAATCTATTACATGCATGTATGAGATTCTCAACGAATAAAAATACATTGCAAGTTGTGAAAGACTACATTATTGAGAGCTCCCCCCAGCTCAGTGCTTCACAAGAAAGCCAGTGTCTAATTTTCTCCAGTTCTAATCTGGATGCCTTCATTGCATCCTTTGGGTTTTCAAACACACAATCAAGCGTTCCTTACATCACCCATTCCCCTCCCTAATAAAATGAGTCCGGATTGTACAACATTCTCCATTTTGAAGACAAGACTTTTTTTCCCCCAGACAGTGTGATTCAACTTGGTTTTAATGTAGTCCGCTATAAAAATGAAGACTTCTGCACGGCACATTTGGCCTTACAAATGTTAATGACTTGTTAATGCTTGTGTTGCACCTTGCACATCTTTAGATTCTGCTGACCAAGAACAGATTTTTCTGACATGGGTTAACACCCAAATTGTGAATCCTGGAACTTTTACTTAGCACACACACTCACAAGCTATTGCAAACTTAAATACTAATCTATAATATCTAGCTGAATTAGTGGATCCATTTCAGGATTGTGCTTGTTATCTCGGAAGATAGGCAACTAGCAAAAATACCCATTTCTTTTTGCATATCCCCACCCCCGTATTACACTGTAAAAGAAATATTGTTCAGTGCACCTCCTAAGAAATAAACTTCCTTATAGTATTTCTCTCTTTATATATATATATCTATCTCCAAACAGAGGAAGAGCACAACGCAACTCTTAAGATTACCATTTAAAGCAAGAGTGTGGCAAGTACACTCTGGCACTGGAGTCTCCTGATTAGAAGGTTCAGCTTTTGACCATCACTGTTCTGTTTTGCCTCCAAAGTAGGAATAAATTCAATGCAGGATTGCTTTGGGCAGTTTCAAATGCCTCCACCATTTTGGTAGACACCCTAGGACATCAGCCATGTCACGCATTTAATCATTCAAACTAGAAGCTGTAGAGACAACAGCATACTAAGCTGTTGACTTGTCCACCAAGATTTTTATTACCTGCCTCCTAGCCACTGACTCAACGGGTTAATAAAATATAATTAAAAAGGTACTAACAACTAAATTATTGGGAAGACTTTTTTCCCCCCAGCTCTATGGTTCTAAAGAAAACGAATGTTTAATTCTTTGTGAGTTATCAAACCTAGATGGGTTCACTGACTCCTTTGGTTTTTAAAACACATGATCAAGTGGTCACTCTATCACTCATTCCCCTTCCCGATAAAATGGCTCAGCACGCCAGTGGCTTCTGGATACAGCCTGGCTAGAACAATGTATGTATAGATACCAAGGCCTTCCTCTCTCCAGCTCTGGATACAAAACTGTAAGCACAGTGTCACGAGCTGGTCTGTTTGAAGTTCTGCTTAACAAGAGGGGCCTGTTCTGTTCTGTGGACTTGGTCAGATGTAGCTGACACAGCAGAGAAGCCTGGAAGCTTCTGCCTATACACACTCTCTAGGAGGGAAACAGCGGAAATCCTAGGATGGATGAGGCTGCAGCTGAGTGGCTTGCAAGCTGAAGTTGGCTGCAGCCTTGTTTGTCTAATCAGAAGTGTTTAAAAACATTTTCAATCAGTTCCTGGTATTTAAAAAATGGAAATATTTTTGAAGGAGAATTTTCTTGTGGGAATCTGAATTGCATGAGAGCTTAAGAACTTGTAACTTTGGTCTGGAAGTTTTGCATGGCAGCAGCTGGGCCCTATTGCATGGGCTGGGACATTACAGCTTGCTACAGCTCCTGCTACTCCAAACTAGTAGACAGCACTGGAGGGAGCGTATTGCCTCCCTCGCTTACGTGGCCTGCTGAGTTCTGTGTCACTAGGACTAGTTTAGTGGTGCCTGGCTACGGAGCTGTTGATTTGGGCTTCATTTGGGATTGGCCACTTCCCGGTGACATGGGTTCCTCTCTGTTGACTAACTGGCTCCAAGCCACATCTAGTTACTTTGGTAGGTAATCTTAACATGATTCTATTTGCAGACTCCAAAGATACAATCACACAAATATTTATGTGCTTAAGTGTGTGAATGCTGAACACGTAAAAGGGGCATGGATCTATACAGATATAGGTATACTTCCATCTGGGCAGAGGTTAATTTGGTTCCACAGATACAAGTGCTGGCAGCATGGAGAATAAATGTAACAATTTGGTAAAATCTGTATAATTCTGACTTACAGTATCACAAAGAGTGACTTTTAAGTTATTGCTTTTTGATTACAGAATAAAGAGCTCATTATGCCATTTCCTATTCAAGTAAAAGCAACCAGAATTGGAAGTTCCCACGGCCGGTGCTTGAAGATGGTTTGGAATGGAGACGTGATTTCACTGTTCAAGAAATGATGCAGGAAACTGAGAATGACTTAATTTTTCAAAAGTACAAGAAAATCAGCACCCAACTGTTTAGTGCTCGCAAGGGCGTCCCAAAGGCTTTACAGAGCTCAGCCTGACAGAGTCCGTGTCCCTTTAGAAGGATTTCCACTCTACTTATGTAAACCTCAGTTCAGAACACAAAGCTGGCATTAAACACAGTCAGAGAGGATTAAAAGCAGTGTTGGTTTTTGACATTCAGATTCACAGAGGATCTCATTTTCTGCAATAAATGCTCTGTCTTTTTGTTTCTGCCACAGAATCACATTCACGTGGCGGTCTGATTTCAGGCACTTTTAAAACATGTTCATCTGGAATAAAAATCTGCATGAACTGCTTCTGCATACTTTGAAATAGGTGCTGAGTAATTCTAGTCCCCAAATTGACAGCAGACTGCCACCTGGCTCTCATTTAGCTTTCTCTATCATGACACTTGGTGACTGCTGGGCTTTCGATGTATGTCTGTGAGGTCCCCTTCTAGCTTAGTACAAAGAGGCGAGTCTTAAAAATCCAAAGTACTCAGTTTCTACTTAAAAAAAAAAAAAAAAAAAATACAAAAAGGTAAATACACTGAATGTAT